GTAGTTTGGAGTTGTAGAGTATCCTGGTCTCGGCACCAAAATGTGGCTGTCTATCGCACACATTCGATCAGGTCCAAAAAACTGTGAGCACTGTGATTGTGTAATGATAACACAAAAGACTATGGTAGACTGTAATACGTCGTTTATTTCGGAAGACAAGTCTGGCATCAAAGTACAATTAGAACAATCCACACTAAACATGCACTAAAACACCCTTTATATAGGGTTAATAAGATTACACCGTGGATTTTAAAATTGGAGGAAAAACGCTATGATTGGTGTGCCATGTGAGAAGGTAACTATAGAATAAACATTTCGGCTTAATCTGCTACAAAGTTGCGACTTCTCTTGCGTTCGCTGTGATAAAGGCATGTTCGTGAACATTACGTAAATGGCTTACAATAAATTGATTTGTGCTTCTTTGTCATAGGAATACATGTATTGTGAGGTGAAATGAAGCATGAAACGGCTTCTAACAGACATAACTCAGAGAATAATGCTTGGAATCAAATGAAACGAAAACGAACAAATACAGAAACTGGTTGTCTATCGATACAAAGTAAATACGAATGAAAAATAATAACTATAATTAAACAACAACAAATATAATTGAATCGAGAAACACACACGTGGATAAGCATCCACGATAAAGTACGCTATAACTCATAAACAATTTGCCAGATGTAAACCCAACTTGGCATACAACATCCCTTCAATAAGATGATTGTGTGTCCATAAAAATATTTCCCATGATGCAAGTGGTTTTGGCGGCCATCTTGAATTTATCAAAAAAATGCAAAAATCATCAAAAAATTATCTTCTCAAAAACTGCTTGCTTGTTAGACAAGCAATTCAGAATTTTGCACCTATGTTGATAGCTCTACAATGTTACTGAAGCCGATTTTTGAAAAATGGCTTTCTTTGGCAGCCATCTTGGATTTAGTAAAAAGTGAAATTACGCTATAACTCATGAACAATTTGCCAGATTTAAATCAAACTTGACATACAACATTCCTTCAGTAAGATGGTTATGTGTTCATGAAAATATTTCCCATGATTCAAGTGGTTTTGGTGGCCATCTTGAATTTATTAAAATAAATCAAAAAACCTCAAAAAATTATCTTCTTAAAAACTGCCCACTTGTTTGACAAGCAAATTATAATATGACACCTATGTTGATAGCTCTACAAAGTTGCTGAAGCAGATTTTGGAAAAATGGCTTCCTTTGGCTGCCATCTTGGATTTAGTAAAAAGTGAAACTGCGGCATACAACATCCGTTCAATAAGATGATTATGTGTTCATGAAAATATTTCCCATGATTCAAGTGGTTCTGGCAGCCATCTTGAATTTATCACAAAAATGCAAAAAACCTCAAAAAATTATCTTCTTAAAAACTGTCAGCTCGTTTGACAAGCAATTTAGAATATGGCACCTATGTTGATAGCTCTACAAAATTACTGAAACTGATTATTGAAAAATGGCTTCCAAAAAGAAGCGAAGTTGTTACAGTACACGGCGGCCCCATATAACGTTGAACAGTTAGAGAGATAAATGACATCATCTCATTATAGATTCAAATCATGTTTACATGCGAAGCGTGATCTGTATAACAAATGCTTGCCTAGTAACCGGAGAAAGAGGTCGACATGCCTAAACGCCAACCCCTAGTGCTAGTTAACTCAACAACATCCAACGTTTTGTCTTGTTCTAGCAGACACTCGACTTCCACCGCAACTTCGGAAACAGCGTCCTTGTACAGAACTTTGTCGATGGATGGCCTGGCGGCAATCCCACATAAGACACTAGTTTTTTCAAATCTTGCCGACCTCTCCCAACTGCTCGTCCGACCAATACAGATTTTCGGTTGATATTAAATTGTCTGCCCTACTTTTTGGAAGATGGAAATTGATCATGTTTGCTGACGAAATTTTAACCTCTTGGTTTGAATACTCAAACTTGAAGTGTGAACCCCATTGTACTGTCGGCAATGCGTTGCTGTTATACAATGTAGGTAAAGTTTCGCTTCCTCTGAACTGCGTTTTGAGTTTTTCCTTGGGGGCCTCTTTTTTGTGATTGATCAATAATCAGGAGCCGGAGTTGATATGACCGCATCGTCTTCAGTGTGCACTGTTTCCATCGTGAAGGAATTATGCAAATTACGCAATAAGTCAACGTTATTGTTTGCGTCCAGACTTTTACCTCAAAAACAAAGTGTACAGTATCCCGTTATACAAGTAGTTTTTCTTATTTATTTTTTTAAAAAAAGGGTATTCTAGATGTGTTTCAGTTTTAATTTTGATAAAATTATGAGCCCAATAACTTCACAAAAGTAATAACAAAAAAAGCAAAATTCACGAAAATAACTCTACCGCATCCTTAAAACTAAGATACATGTGTAGGGTCTTCATTCTTAAATTCCTACATTCAAACACCTTAAACTAGGATACACATGTAGGGTCTTCATTCCTTAATTTCTACATTCAAACACCTTAAACTAAGATATTGTCTTCATTCCTTAATTTCTACATTCAAACACCTTAAAACTAAGATATGGTCTTCATTCATTAATTCCTACATTCAAACACCTCCTACAAATTTAGGATAAAACACCTCAAACATAGCTCATTCTACTCAGCTTGATATCTTTTTTTATTTAAGGTAGAGATGCAGTTTATTTGTGAATTTCAATCAAAAATAGTTTTTTTCGTTTTTTATATAGATTTTTATCTAAAGAGCATTCTGTGAAAATTTGACCAATAATTTCTTATTGGAACACCGTTAAAATTGCTGTAATTATTTTCTGGTTAAAAATAAAAAACACTCACACGTGGCAATGTTCATGTCCAATTGCCTAATTTGCATGAGTAAGCAAATAACAGGACCTTTGATTGACAATATGCAAATCGAGATTGTACCAAGAATGGTTTTTTAACTCTTTTTGGCTGGGTCTATTTTGGTTCATACTTGACAGGCAGGTTGTACCGTCACTAAGTGGAAAAAAAAAATTCTTGGCCCACCACTGCCATGGCAACAGCCAAAAAACTAATTTTCAAATACTTTCACCCTAAATGTATTACATTGTACCTCCTACCAGTCTTGTAATAGCAGTGTTCAAATGATCATGCTTTTTATTTTGGCTAAGTTGCACACTGACAAGAGATCACCAGCACTGACACTGTATCATAATCCCAATGCAACTTAGAACTTTGAATGAACAGTCAATTCTGCAGTTACACATTATTAAATGACCTCAATCCATTAATTAGTTTCACATCACATAATGTCCTCTATCAATTAATGATGAGTTACATGTTATGAGTTATACATTACATAATCTATTTATTTAACACTTATAACATTCAAAAAAACTCTGATCAGACATCATTTTCTGCAGTTCACACTGTGATATTAATCTGATCAGACGCTAAAGTTCCACTACGTCCAATTTTTGAAAAATCTGTTCAGACATTAGGTTTTATGGTTTACACCAAGCAAGTCAATTGAACAGAATATATCAAATAAATTTGATCGTAAATGTACATGTAAAAGCTGGACTTTACACATTATGTAATGTTCTCAATCCATTTATTTAGTGTTATCTTCAGCAATGAAAAAGGCAAGACTTGCAGCACTCAGTTGGATAATATAGTCCTCAAGTTTGAAGACATTTTTCTACCACTTCCTGGTCTACAAGCCATCAGTAAAACCCAACTGTTTGAAAGACTCTGGCATTACATTCACCAGCAGCAAAAAATGAGGTAGGATCATTTTGGATTTGTGAGTACACTCTGTTTGTAGGTCAAATTTCAAATACAGTGTTCTACCGTGTCAAATTATTAGTCCCTATTCAGACACCGTCCACCTATTAATTTGGGTCCTGTCAGTTCGTCTGATCTCATTCAAAGTTTACATAAAAGATAATACATCATGTTTTATAGAAATGTTCAGATTCTGATACACTTTACAGATGTATTTAAATCATGGTACTTACATAGATAAATGAAGATACGTCAGTACCACCTTTTTTGTGTGATTCAGTTCAATTTGGCTGACCATCGGTAAATTTTGATGAAGAAGTGCTAATTTAAAATCTCCTTTGTTATGTGTCAGCAGCTGTTTCTCGTAGGCGACTAGGATGATTTGGATCAAAGTTCGTGTGATGATCATACATATTGGGTTATTTCATTTTTTTTTTCATAATTCTACCAAATATCGTAGATTAGCAGTCATTTTTTTGACATCTTTTCTACCCTTTTTTCAGATATGCTTTTACAGATAAGTATTATAGCATTAAGGCATATTTTATGGGATGTTTTTTTTTAACTAAATAAATGAATAAATAAATATTTATTGTATAGTGACATCATTTTTTACCTCGTAAATGGGCTGTCATCTCTTTCTGTGTCGTTTGTGAAGAAATGTGTTGCAATGGTGCATGTCTGGTCAAACATCAAAACGGCATGTTTGTGGGTAAATAAGAGCACATGGGCACCATATTGATGTCTGAATTGATTGATTTTTACCGTACTTGGTACACGATTGGGTTTACAAAAGCAGGAAGATTTTTATGATTTTCAGTTAGTAATTAACTATTTTTTGCTAATGTTGGTTTCATATTTGAATAATACGATATTCCTTGATTTTTTAAAATCTTGTGTTCATACAATGTAGACTGCATCTACATGTAGTCTAGCAATTTGGGAAATAATTACTTTTTAAAGTATGATTGTGGTCATAATGTTTTATAAACATATTTGTGAATATTATTAAACAGGTTTGTGTTTGGTCTTGTGAAACTACCTCTTTCGTAAATAACAGACGACCAGCTGGCTGGTATTTATGCCTTCAGCTGGTATAACCAATGTTTTATGTTTTGGTCCGTGAATAATTACATGTACAATACAGCTGAAATAAGGCATTTGGTAATATTCTGTATAGTATTTTGTTTGGATCCAGTGATGTGTTCCTATTTGTAAAAAATAGTGGCCTATCAATGAATTTGATTGTAAAAATATATATGAAAATAAGTATATATGAAAATTAAATAATTTAATTTTTGTAATATATATTCTTCCGTTCAAATTCATTGATTCAAATGCCTGTGCACCATATCCATTAATTCAAAGTTGTTGGTTTGTGTACCTCTTCAACATTTTTAATTTTTTTATGCATTTGCTATTTGAAATATATCATGGCTGCAATAAAAGTCTGTGTAACGTGGAAATTTGTTTGATGAAGGGATCACAAATTTATATACACACTATTTTGTTTTGTTGTCAGTGCCATCATATTCGTTTGTTTTTATGGTGGCAAATCTAATTATTTGAAAGGTCTATTGATGGTGCTTTCATCTCAAATACAATACACATTTAGTTAAATTGAATATTATATTATTCCCAATAAAGTCACCTTCATTTGATACAAAATTGATTTAAATGGAGCATTATATTATTCTCAATAAATTAGCTATTTTTTAGTGATTTATTTTTGTTGATGTTCTGAAAAACTCCCACTGTGCCTGGCAATTGTATGAATTCATCACATATCAGACAATTATTTGTAGGGTTAGAATTTATATTCTTGCTATATTATTTTTTCATGCCATAATATGAACCACCACATAATTTCCAAACTGTCATGGTATGCAAAAGAATTTTTTTCTTTAAAATTAAATAATATTGTTTTTGATAAATGCGTAAATTATTTATTGATTTTTTTTATTTATTCAATAAATAACAAGATTGTACTTTTTTGTACTTTTTTCTTTTTTTAAATTGTACTTTTTCTAAGCATCACCAATAAGTGGCTGAATATCATGGAAATTTGAAGTCTGATGTGTATAATCAAAATACTCAGTTTGCAGAAATTATAAATACAAGTGTCACTTGGTTCAAATTTATTTTTGATCAATGCTTCCTTCTCATGAAATTTTAAAGTGCCTTTAATTTTCTGGCATCAAGTAATGTTATTAGGTAACCCCAATGACTAGTACACACTTAAGAGCCTGGACAAATCAAATTTAGTTTGAATACATAAAATGCATAAATAGCATATCCTGTTTAATTTCTTAATATATATTTGATTTTTTAATACATTTAATTTCTGTTGATATTAGACAGCCAATTATTCACTCTCAATTACTAACTTTATTTTTGACATGAATAACATTTCCCCTAATCTCAATGGGGACTATTTTGTTAACAATGATTTGTTTTGATCATGGTTTTGCTTCATATGGAGAGCACAGTCATCAATCTATAGTTGTCAGGTGGTGACGTTATATTCACATCATTCTTTATCAGTGACACTGACTGCAGAGAATCTGTGTGCTGTCTCAATATCGGTGAAGAAATGTTTGTTACCATAGTGATAGGAAATTTCCACCCATTCCTCCTGAAGAAGTACTCAAAGCAAGGTATATATATGAAAGGTTAAGAGTATTCTTTGTTAGGAGTATTCCAAATTATTTTGTGTCTAAGCTGTGTACTCTCTTTTTCGTCTTGCCATTTGACGCCTATGAATTATATGAAATATGTGGATCGTACCCCCTCCAAATTAAAAATGTTAAATATATGAGAATTGACTGCATCGCAATATTAATAGCAGGTAGCTTTTATTAGTTCCCATTCGGACGAAGTCAAAAAACTATTAATTTGGGTTCCGTCCATCCGTGTGTCTGACCAGAGCCATTTCTCTGATATCCTTTGACAAATCTTGTTCAAACTTGGCATACAGACAATGTATGATGACCTACATATGCACGCCCATGTTCGCTATGATTTGGTAGCCATTTTGTCCCTCAAATTTGCTAAATTCTAATATTTAAACGAGGCTGGGACTGTTTCTCGGAGCTGAATAGGGTGATTTCAATGACACTTTGTATGGTGATCAAATTGCATATTGGGTTCGAGATTCGGTTCAAGATGGCCGACTGGCGGCCATTTAGTTTTTTTTCGTTTTTGTGCTGATTCCTCTATAAGATATAGCCTGATTCAGCTCAGAGTTTGTACATAGGTACTATACTTCAAGATAAAACAACACCATGTTTTGTTTTGAGATTTGACAAATTTGTTTAATATCTTGAAATCAGTCTGTAACGTGTCCTGAACGGTTTCTCGGATCTCAACAAGGTGATTTCAATCAAACTTTGTATGGTGATCATGCATATTGGGTTATAGGCGCATGTCACTTTTTTCGATAATCGGTCCAAAATGGCCGACTGGCGGCCATTTTTTTTTCCATTTTCGTGCTGATTCTTTTATAAGATATGGCCTGATTCAGTTCAAAATGTGTACATGTACATATACATACATTTGTACTATACTTCAAGATAACACAAACCATGTTTTGTTTTGAGATTTGATCAAATTTGTCGAAATGGCGGCTATTTTGTTTAATATCTTAAAATCATAGTCTGTAATGTGTATGGAACTGTTTCTCAGGGCTGAATAGGGGGATTTTAATCAAATTTTGTATGGTGATCACGCATATTGGGTTACACTTATACGTCATATTTTTTTCAAAATTTGGACCAAAATGGCCGACTGGCGGTCATTTTGTTTTTAACGTTTTTTGTGCCGATTCCTCTGAAAGATATGGCCTGATTCACTTGAAAGTTTGTACATAGGTACATGTAGTATACTGCAAGGTAACACAACAACATGTTTTGTTTTGAGATTTGATCACATTTGTCATTTTTGGCAAAAAAATATGGCGATATGGCCTGATTCAGTTCAAAGTTGAATAGGGCATTTCCAATCAAACTTTGTATGATGACCTTACATATTAGGTTATGGTGCAAGCCATATTTCTTTTGGAGATACTTGAACAACAATACCCAACTGACTGCGTTTTTCTTTCATGCTATTTCCTCTGTAAGATATAGTCCAATTCAGTTCAAAGTTTCCACGTAGGTACTATACTGATAGTAACACAATCTATAATCTGTGTTAGTGTTAAAAAAACATTGATCGTTCATTTCTACATGTCCTGAACATTTACTTTGACTACAGCTAATACCGGTACTTAACAGGGACTATGCATTATCAATGCTTGTTATTTTTCATTCTGGGTTACTCACTGAAAGAGCTATAGCATACAAAAATTTGTCAAAACCATACATACATGTATGCAGCAAGTACATGTAATTTCCAGTAATGTTACATTATAATGATGTTCAAATCAGTCCTGTATTTATTTTTGGCAGAATTCAATGAGATAAATATGTTTTTTGTGATTGAATACAATTACTTCCATGTCAAATCTGAGATAATTGTGCTGTACTGTGTCGTGTTAATTTTGTGATGTCAAGTTCTCCAGAACTAATGTAACAATATTTATTTAAAAAAGTCAGCTGTTAGTGTGAAGATGTTGTCCCTATACATATGTGATACAAATTTATCAATGAAGCTAATGAATATATATTATTAGTCCTTTGGACCAACGCTTTCACAATCTGTAGGCCGTGTGCCGTAGGCCATGTGCCGTAGGCCGTGTGCTGGAGACAAATATATCTCAAAAACCCTTCAGTCTATTTTTCTGAAACTTGGCATTATGATAGCTTGTCTGAATATCTCCAGGGCATTTTTTTCTTATTTGGCTTGAATCATTTTAAAAATTACTTTTTGGCCCCAAAACCCCCCAAAATCAGGCTTTTCTAGTGTAGGTAATCTCTGTCCAATTAACATACATGGTGAGTGGCACAATTTGCATAGTAAACATTTTGTGTTATTTTTTCTGATACACACTTCTCTTATCAAATTGTAGTTTCATAATACAGAATGTATATTATTTGATGTGTTCATGTATGTTGTGATGGTTTATCGTACAAATTATTCGTTTATTGATAGATTAAATAGTACTAATTTGAATTTATCACGCATGCGCAGATACGCATAAAACGACCATTGGACGATATGTCAGTGTGATTCGATGTCTCAAATTTCGCTATGAAAATTACAGTATAATAATTGTTTTGATAGAATACAATGCGTGATGTGTATTTGTTATTACATGGGCGCTGTCTTAATAAAGTAGTGTGTGTTATTGGACGAATTGAACACTTGCTGCGCTGTTTTGCTGTCACTGAGAAAATATTAAACCGGTGCTGATAGTGCAACATTGCACTGAGTACCGTCGCATCGCCTGAGCGTGGATGGTCTGTGCAAATGCACATGAAATCGTAATGTGGTCAATCATTTCAGTCGGTAAAGGGAATCAAACACAAACCTCAAAAGGGATCTGAGCGCAAACATATTATTCAACATCATCAGAAGATACTGACATGTTTTTAAGGAGTTTCACTTAGAGAATATTAAA